CTATAAAGAGACGACTTCGAACTCGTCTATAGAGACGACTTCGAACTCCTCTATAGAGACAACTTCGAACTCATCAATAGAGACGACTTCGAACTCGTCTATAGAGAGACGACTTCCAACTCGTCGATAAAGACGACTTTGAACTCGTCGATAAAAACAACTTCGTACTCGTCGATAGAGACGGCTTCGAACGCGTCGATAGAAGCGACCTTAAACTCGTCGGTTGAGATGACTTCGAACTCGTCTACAGACACGACTTCTCGTCGATAGAGACGGCTTCGAACTCGTCGATAGAGACAACTTTAAGCTCGTATGCGGCTCTCTTTTTATAGTAATATTCTTCTGTACTCGCTCATATATAGAGCGTTATTTGGCGCTAGCCAATTTCTAATTTCGATCACGTTTTGAAATTTATTTATTTGTTATGTCTTGCTTAAACAGAAGTTAACTTTTTGGCAAACGGTTGGGCTTCACCTGGTTGGCACAGGTGATGTTCGAACCATTTTTTTTATTAGAAATAAATTACAGTATTTGTGAGAACCCGAAGAAGGGGTTGGTTCTATATTAGATATGGACAAGGTCTTCCAGCTATTGTTTACCTCTTAAGGTGGTTTAATGGAGAAGGTTGAGAAGAAGATGGTCTTTACAAAGGAGATCTTAAAGATTAAATGGACAAGGGTCTTTTTAATAGGAGACCTGAAAAATGTTGGCAAGGTAAATTAGAGAATATATAAATTTTAATGACTCCGAAGTAATATTTCTCATTGCGAACTCATTAGGCTTTCTTCCCGCTGTAAGAGGATTTTTTTTCTACTTCTCTGCGAAAAAGCTAAGATTTTTTTCTATATACGATATAGATTCAAACCATACACTGCATCTTATGAGCTGTTCAGCCAAACCTACCCAAAAAAAGTACCTAAACTTTTTGACCCCAGTCCATAGGCATGGTGAGATCCCAAGACTTTGAGATTTAAACCAAATCAGACTACAAAGCAAACAAACACACGTTGATATCACATGCTGCTACAGCAAACAGTTCTTATATGTATGTATGTATGTATCAGAGATATACTATTGATGGTAAAACTCGACGAAGAGGTCTCTTGCAGTTGGAAGATTCTAGAATGTTAGAAATACGTTGGAGACCCCATGCAGACAACATGAAGACTAAAATAACTCATAGCTATTTTCGAATTTCGTCCAAACAAAGGTGACCCCCAAACGAAAATTGTCAAGGTTCTAGTCTCGATCCGTAATGGCTTGTTATCTTTGTTTGGACATTTTATAGCTTTCACCCAATGCTATTAAAAATAATCATGCCATTTTTAGACATCTCCCTCTGTAGAATAAGATGGGTAGTAAATTAATTTTGTCATTCTGTGAATTGTAGTAATTGAATATTTCATTTCGAGTTTGGAAATTTGACATTCTATTGGACCGGACCTCATTGGTTCATAATTATTTAGGTACAGGCCTCTACCTCTTCAATCAAGGTATTTTGAATGTTTTAGTCAAAAATTCGAATTATACATGTAGTAATTTGACAGTCATGGTTCTAAATATGCAGAATCTTTTATCACAAAAAAAATGATAATAACAATAAAAACCAGTAAAGAAAGTCCTAAAGTCGGGCGGGGCCGACTTTATGATACCCTACACCACTTTGCTAATTTAGTAGAGCTCCACATAACAATTAAAAGATTTTATGGGAGAATTCAATCATACACGCTATGATTATATTTATAATATCTCTTTTAAATTCGGACTTGTATAGCCCATTTGATATATATATGGGAGCTATATCCAAATCGGAACCGATCTCGATAAAATTTGGCAAAGATATTTCTGAGCTGTATTTGATATATTTCCCTGAATATCGTTGTTACGGTGTGCATATTACGCCTGCGGGTAACAAATATAACAAATCGGATGAACAATATATATCGGAGCTATAGCTATATCTGAACCGATCTTGACCAAATTTGACATACAAACTTCTAGACTGAATTCGGTCGTAAGTGCCAAATTTCATCCCGTTTGGGCAAATATTAGACATTTGGTGAACAATAAAATGTAAATCGGACGAAGTTATATATGGGAGCTATATCCAAATCTGAACCGATCTCGATAAAATTTGGCAAATATATTTCTGAACCGTATTTCATATATTTCCCTGAATATCGTTGTTACGGAGTGCATATTACGGCTGCGGAGGACAAAAATAACAAATCGGATGAAAAATATATATGGGAGCTATAGCTATATCTGAACCGATCTTCACCAAATTTGGGGTACTTGTTTCTAGACTCAATTCGGTCGTAAGTACCAAATTCCATCCCATTTGGAGAAATATTAGACGTTTGATGCACAATAAAAGGCAAATCGGACAAAGATATATATGGGAGCTATGTCTAAATTTTGACCGATTATCTCGAATTTCAATAGGGTTCGTTCTTGGGCCAAACAAATGATTTGTGCAAAATTTCATTTGGATCGGGTAATAAATGTGAACTGTATTTTGTTCACAAAAATACATGGACAGACGAACGGACGGACAGACTGACGGACGGACGAACGACTCAGAAAGTGATTCTATGCAGATCATCAAAAGGAAGTATGGGTCTATCTCGTTTCCTTTTGCCTGTTACAAACAAATGCCTGACCACCTTGTGGTGTAGGGTATAAAAATGGATATTTACTATTTGACGGTATCATTCGGATTTGTAGATTTGTAGATCGAAAGTTGTTAAACATTTTTTAAAGTAGATGCGATTTTTCGACGCTCAGAGAACATAAACATCCTTGCAGAACATAATCATCCTTGCAGAAAAAATGTCAGTGAAGCTTCTTGTTTTAGTATTTCAAAAGTTTCCGCTTCGAGTTTCAACAAAAATAGTTATAATTTAGAGATTTTGATCCTCACTGAAAAAAACGAATAGGAAATATTACATATCGATTCAAAATTTGACATAACACCCATATAGCGGTTACATCCGACAATCTCTATTTCAAATGGTATAACACCGTTCAACACAAAAAATAGGAAAAAGCCGCCAGATTATGAAAGGAAAGCTAAAAAAAAGTGATGTGTATCGAAGTTTTGAAAGTATACATCGCAAAGCAACCTAGGCAAGTTTTCCCTCTACTAGATTTTTTGAAATTTTCGCATCAATAGTCCTTGGAATACTAACATTTAGGGTATTTGTGTCACGAGGATTCATTTTGTTCAAAAATGGGTCACCAAAGTTGTCTTTTTGCTCCATTTTTTTACACTCAGCCATATAGGCTACATAGGGTAAATACCATTCGATACGACCAAACGAAATAACGGTTTTAGTTCCAAGGTTTCTTTGGACCAAATCCGTTTCAGGACATTTGGAGTCGATCTAGCGATGTCCGTCCGCCAGTCTGTCAGGGTGGATGGAGCGCATAATAACTATCGAAGTGAGTATCCGTTTGGATCCAAACGTAGTATATCGCAATATTCCAAACAAACTTAGATCGAGTTCGGAGATGACCAATATCGGTCCACTCCTTTTGGAACCTCCTCCACAAAAGTTCGAAACTTTCCAAATATATTTTACTGCACAAAAAGAGAGAGTATACTCCGATTTTGCTCCAACTTTGCGAATCTTAATATTTCTATCAGTGTTACGTCATGTGCGAAAATATCGGTCCACTCCATCAAGTACCTCCCCCGCAAACGTTTAAAATTTCCGAATATCAGGTGTACCTTTATATGGGTGCTATACCAAGACGTGGACCTGCACAGACAATTTTCTGTCATAGGCTGTAGTATCCATTACGATCTTCAAATGCGAAATTTGAAACAATTCCGGTAAATAATGTCGCTAAAATCATCAAATACCGAATATTGGGGGGTACCGTTATATGGGAGCTATACCAAGACGAGGACCTGCACAGACAATCTTCTGTCATAGGCTGTAGTATCTATTACGAACTTTAAATATTAATTTTGAAACAATTCCGTTAAATAATGTGGCTAAAATCATCCAAATACCCCATATCGGGAGATACCGTTATATGGAGGCTATACGAAGACGTGGACCTGTTCAGACAATTTTCTGTCAGACATTATACACATTTGAATAAATTTTTATCAGTCTACCTCATTTTGTTCGGAAGCTTGAGTAATTTCCACAGACGCACGGAAATTGCTAAATCGACATAGAATTTTATGCTGATCAAGAATATATATACATTGTGGGGTCTATAATGTATATTTCGAGGTGTTACAAACGTAATGACAAACTTAATATACCCTCCATACTATGGTGGAGGGTATAAAAAGAAGCCCACATCACTTCAGTGATTCATTTCCATGAGGAGATGAAGATTTTTTACCGATCTTCCCTAACAATACCTCCTTGGTTGCCACCCTCAGAAATCATCTTTTAATTATCTCCAACTAAATTTAGGTTTTCTGTGGCTCATAAATTCTCAAATGCAGTTAGAACTGAGTCCGGGCAATGCAAAATGTCATAATTCTAGCCTAGATTCGTTAATAGTCAAACACTTATCTTTATGTGGAAAATTTATGCCTCAAACCCAGTGCCACAAATAATTAATTATTTCAATTTCTTATCAATAACCCCCCTCTTCAATGCAAAACAAAATTGAAAAACAAACAAACAAACAAAATTGAATACCAAATCTGTCCAATTTCCAAACACTGTGCGATTAGTTTATGTGCGTGCCAAGTATTCGGCTTTTGTTTACCATTTTCGTTTTTTTGTGTTTCGCGTTTGTATTGGTTGTTTTTTTTTCTTTCTTCGAGTTTCTTGCCAGGCCCCATTCAGAAAATTCAAATATTCAAAACGCAAAACAAACCTAATTTGATGTTGTTGTTGATTTTTTTTGGTATTTTTTATAATTTGTTTTTGTTGTCTTTCCAGAATATCAAAATCCAAAAATGAAAAAAAAAAACAAAAAAACAAATTGTTTTGTTTGGCTATCTATCGTCGTCGTTGTTGTCGTGGCCGGTAACAGTTCGCCGGATTTTTCAGTCGTTTGCTATCAGTCGTTTGGTGTAGTCGCACTGCTCCTCTCCAGCAAGATCGCCAGCCACAGAAAGTTTGTTTGAACCAAAACAAAAAGAAAAATAAATTCAATTTTGAATTTCAACAATTTTGCCGATAAAGGTAGGTATGTATAATTAGTGAGTGTTAAATTGTTGGTGGATTATTGACGATTTGTAATCAGTGATAGAACGATTTGTTTTTGCGATTTTGTTGCGCAATTTTATTTGTTTTTATAGTTAATGAAGTAGTGGAATATTTTGAGTGTAGCTGCAAAGCCACTGCAGGTGTAGAGGATCAAATGAGATTTTTTTTTAAATAAATGACTTCAATTAGCATTCGAAATATTTCTAGGAAATTTTGAAATTAAAAACCAAGCAAAACTCCAACGCTGCCGAAGCTATTTTAAAACAAGTAAGCAAAGGCTACAGTCGAGCGGGGCCGACCGTTGAATACCCTACAACACTACAATAAACGATACAGTTTATATGGGCGAGATACTCGAAAGAATTCCACAAGATATTGTGACAAATAATAAAAGAAAACCATCAGGTTTCGTTCTCTAATTTTCGAATAATAGCAACTTAAACTAATTTGCTCATTTCAAATTTATTGGTAGATGTTGCACGTAAATGGTCTTCCTAGATATGGAACCAATATTTCCCAAAGACCCATAATCTCTCAGAAGTGGCAAAAGATTAACATTTATTATTGGTTTTTGACTGAAACGCATCTATATGAGATACAGACATTTGACTATATTCTTCAACGAAATCAGCCTTAACGAAATAGTCAGAAGTCCGTCTTTCCTGTATTTGTAAATTCTCCAAAAAGTCACTGGAATGGACATTTTCGTATTTTGTCTACAAAAGTTGGCAAACTCCTTTACACATTGAATATTTTTGGATGGCCATACAAAACTGCTTGGCTTTTACAATGTCCGGTAACCTCCATTCAAATGTGCCTGAGGATCCGGCGATAATTACGACCTGCTGATAATTTTGGAGTTTCTTGGTCCATTTCAACCCCTAAATATATGGCGATCATCTCCAAAAAGAGTAGGCTTCTATTCTCACCCTCATCTTATCTTCATGCAAAATTTCGTAAGGGTCGGGCCATAAATGCGATCTGTATATGATATCCTGATATCCTAACTACTTAGTTTTGTTAGCTGTAGAAATATTACGAAATGTTTAATTCAAAATGAAAATATGCCAAAAATATGACAAAATTGAAAAAATATGAGAAAATTTTAAAAAATCAATATTTTCATCTTTAGAGATATATTTTTATGTGATTTTTTAGGCGTATTTTCCTTTCTGCCAAGAGGCCATTCTGAATTAATGAGAACTGTCGAAATCAGTTCAGCCGTTCTCGACATAAAATAGATCTTTCAAGCATATCTTCTTTGATAGACATATATATCGCACATATTTAGTTATATATTCGATTTGTTGGATCTTAACATCAATGTAAAGATCAGAAGTAACCTTGTCATGGCTTTGTGATTTCGCCGGGATTTAAAATATTCACGGTTTAATGAAAATTTTTGAATTTTTTCAACAAAAAAGATATGATGTATTTTAGCCGCTAAATATTATCCGATGACCATCCAAATTGGTAGGCTTCTTCCCCGCCCTAAACTCTAGCTACATGCGAAATTCCGCGTCGATTGGTCTATAATTGCGACCTGTATAGCTACTGCAAAATTTGACATTTTTTCAGTATTTGGTTCATTTCAACCCCTAAACATTTGGCGATCGTCTCCAAAAGAAATAGGGTTCTATTCTGACATTAACCCCACCTACATTTTAAATTTCGTGAAGATCGGGCCATAATTGCGACCTGTAGAGTGATTACAAATTAACATGGACAAACGGACAGACGGACAGACGGACGGACGGACGGACGGACATACATAGCTAGATCGACTCAGCTCGGCGAGCTAGGAAGATCCATATATACTTTCCTATATGGGAAACCAATATTTCGAGGTGTTACATAAATTCTGGCCCAATCAAACTTATAATACCCCCAACACATAGTGTTGTAGGGTATAAATATATCTACACATGAATTTGTGTGTGCGAAGCCATTTTTGAATTCGAATCGAACATTAAAGTTTCGTTGACTTTTTATTTGAATATAGTGCAAGATTTGTCATGCTATGAATACAATAACATAGAGATGCCTTTCTTTTATTTTTCAATTTTTTTTCTTTGATAAGAAACATGACATGCAGGTCAAGTTGTATTTTATTTTATTGCTCTCAAGTCATCTAATTGTCGTATCTTGGATGGAAGGCCTTTAACTATGAATTATTTAATATTTTTGTTATTAATTGATGAATGACATATGTATGTATGTCAAGTGTTGAGAAAAACAATTTTAATTCTCCTTCAATCGAAAGATTCTTTCTTTTTTAGAAACTTAAGCCATTGGACTATGGTCCTAAATTCTAATAATTTTTAAATATTTTTACCAACACACTATGCTCTTGAATTATCCTACAAATACAGTGGGAGGGCAAAGACAAAAAATAATAAAAAAAAAATAAGCAGCTAAGTTCGGCCGAACTTTTAATACCCTCCACCATTTCAAAGAAATTGAAAATTAAAAAAAAAAAAAACAGAAAAGTACCAGTTAAATGAAAACCGTTATATGGGCGATATACGAAGACGTGGACCTGCATACAAAATTTTTTGTCATAGGCTGTAGTACCCGTAACGATCTTCAAATACGAAATTTGAAATAATTCCGGTAAAAAATGTCGCTAAAATCATTAAAATACCGAATATCGGGAGGTACCGTTGTATGGGGGATATACGAAGACGTGGACCTGCTCACGAAATTTTTTGTCATAGGTTGTATTATCCATTAAAATCTTCCAATACGAAATTTGAAATGATTCCGTTCAAAAACGTCGCTTAAATCATCAAAATTCCGACAATTTCAATTTTGCTCCAACTTTGCAAATCCTAATATTTGCATCAGTGCTTGGCTCACCGCTACTGGTACCTCTCCCCACAAGAGGTCAACATTTTGAATAACCGCAAAAGATCATAAAGCGCCAATTGAGCATTCCATTCTCTCCAAACTTCATATATCCCAATATATCTACTAAAACTTTATCTGGTGTAAAGATGGGATATATAGGTCTACTCCTTCTGGTACCTCCACACAACGGGTTAAACATTTGAATAGCCATGAAATAGACAAAACGCGAAAAGAACATCCGATCATTTTCAAACTTGGCACATCCCAATATTTCTATCAACAAAAGACCTGATGTGAAGATAAAATATATCGATCCACCCCCTCTGGTACTTCCCACACAAAGCCTCAACATTTGGAATAATTTGATCTCTTACAAATTGCGAAATAAGCATGCAATCCTTCCTTCCTCAAATTTCACGTATCGCAATGTTTCTATTAACACAAAATCAGGTGTAAAGACGAGCAACATTGGTCCACTCCTTCTGGTACCTCCCCCTTCAAAAAATCAACATTTTCATAGAAAAAAATTTACCTCGTCCAAAAAGAAAGAATCGGAAAATTTGGAGATTACACATCCTTATATTTTTATCAGGGCTAACTCGGGTGCGAAAATGGGTAAAAAATTTGAGTATCAATGAAGCTCATAAAACGCGAAATTAATATCCGATTCTATTCAGACTTGGTACATCGGTACGTTCCACTCAGCGATACCTCCCCCACAAAGGCTCAAAATTTGCATATCTCATAAATTGCAAAATAAGCATGCGCTTCTCTTCAAATTTCACACGTCCCAATATTTTTATCAACACATAATCGTGTATAAATATGGTATATATCGGTCCACTCCTTCTGGTACCTCTCCCACAAAGGGTCAACATTTTGAATATCCATAAATCTCATAAAACGCAAAATTAACTTCCGATTCCATTTAGACTTGGTACATCTCAATATTTCCATCAACACAAGATTTGCCATAATGATGGTAGAGATCGGACCATTCCTTCATGTACCTCCCCCCAATAGGGTTCAAGATTTTGAGAAACCAATCGCTCAAAGTAAGCCAAATAAGCATTCAACTCTCTTCAAATTTCACACATACCAACATATTTGCTAACACAAGGTCTGTTGTGAAGATGAAGATCCACCAAGTACCTCACCCACAAAGGTCACAATTTTCAATACTTTTATCTGTCATAACTTGCGAAACAAGTCAGCAAATCGTTACAATTTGATATATCTAAATATTTCTCTCAACCAGCAACGTGGGATGAATATGGATTTTATGATGGACCAAACCTGTGACGTCGCAATATTTATATCGTATTTATTTAGCTCCGATATGAAATGGACAATATTGGCCCATTACTTCAGAACCCACTCCATAGAGGGTCAAGAGTTTTAGTAATCATAACAGAAATAAAAAAAGGTATACGACTGTCGGCAGTCGGTCGGTTCTGCCTTTTTAAATTGTTTAGTTCTCATTTCGTGATCTGTTAGATTTTTCCTGTAATTATCAAAAAAGATCGAATATTGCAATTTTGAGCAAGGGGCTACTCTCTTCTATGAGAGTAGGGATTAGTGTAAGAAGGGGTGGACCGATTTTATCAATATTCATGCCCAATCCATGCTTAATGTAATTGTTGCGATATGCGAAGTTTCTGTTCCATTATTTTTCACGAAAGCATTGTAGGCTATAAACCCTCCACCTTTCAAGGAGGCTATAATAAATTTATCATATATGTTATACTTTTGTAACACCTCTAAACATTCGTCGTAGACCCCATACAGTGTATATATTCATGATCAGCATAAAAATCTATGCCGATTTAACGATATACGTCTGTCTGCTGAAATTAGGATACAACCCACATTGAATGACGTAGAGCTTTAAAATTTGCCGCAAGTATGTGAATTGTGTCTAGGATGGTTGGTATTGAAAATGAGATATATTGGTCTACGTTTTGGTATAGCACCCATATAAGGGTACCTCCAGGCATTCGGTATTTTGATTATTTTTGCCATAATTTCCCACGAAATTGTTCCAAATTTGATATTAAGAGTTAGTAGCGAATTCTACTGCTAGTGGCAGAGCATTGTCTGTATAGATCCATATTTTATTCCATATA